CTTACAAGCTTTCCATGTTGATATTTCTGGTTATTCCTTTCTCTCCCCCTCCAGTGTCTGTTTTATAATGTATTGCAAGGAAAACCATGATTCAAAAGACAGCCAAGCATCTTAACATTATTCACCCCTTTTCCCCATTCCATCCATGTCTCAGTCTCTGTATTCCAGAGCAGAGCTTTCTTAAAGGGACTCCCAGCAAGAGGGTATACTAGGCAAAATGTTACATAGGCCCTCCAAAACAGAGATAAGAAAAACACAAAATGAAACAGTTGCAGATCCTGGATCCATGAGCTTCAGGTGAAGAGATAAAGAAGTTGATTGAATTCTTACTAGGAGAAGCTGAACAAATAGGCAAAAAAAGAAAGAGACTGGTGAACTACATTTGCTGACCAGGTGCAGTACAGCCATCTTGAACTTCTGAGTGGCTTTGGAAGCAGATGGCGACTAGGAGGCATAGAGGCACACTGGTGAATGGTGACAAGAGAAGTGTGATTTTTTTTTTCTTGTTCCCCAGCTCCGCCTGGTGACCAGAGGTGTGGCCACCCCCAGTCTTGTCCACCAACAGCGAAGTTCCTGCTCTCCAGGTTGTCGGAGCCGCACAGTAGTGAGCCACAGTTATGAGCTGCATCATTGTGAGTTGGGTACTGGCTGCACAAACCCTGATGCCTGGATTCACGTGAGACTTGCTCTAGACCTACAGAGCCAGTCCTGACCATCTCTGGATTAGCGGAACTCCTGTGGCTGGCTGCCCAGCCGTTGCTGGCTGCCTGGAATGATGCCAATCCCAGCTGCTGTGGGGTTGGCACAAACTACTTTCATATTAGGTGCCCAGAACAGACAATACTTGGCCTACAGGAATTCCATCTGGGCTGGGAGCACCACCATCGCAACTCTTGCCAATTAAACATCTGAGCTCCTTGAATACCAGAAGCCCAAAAGTTTTCTCCTCTCTGGGTCTGGTACCTGCCCTGTTTTCTCTCACTTTCACGGTTTACTCTTTCTTCTCCTTCTTCCTGTCTTTCTCTTTTTCTGTCTTTTTGAAATCTCTTCTATCTCTGCTTTCATTTTTTCTTATTCTGTTTCTCCACACCCCCTTCCTACCCACAACCCCTGCTTCTTCTTCTTTCTCTTATTTTTTTGCTATTGATTTTTCCCTTTCTTTTTTATTCATTCCTATCCCTAACTATGTTGTGTTTTTACCTTGTGTGATTTTTGTTTTTCTTTCCCTTCTTGGTTATGGTACTCTTTTTCTAGCTACTGCCTGTTGTATTTTTTCTCTTGTATTATTTTATTTGCTTGTTTGATTTTTGTTTCTCTGGGGTGTGTGTGTGTGTTTTCTCTTCTTACCTTACCCAACAGGAGGCAGCAACTGTGTCCATAAAACCAAATCACAAACATACTTTCAGAAGCCCCATCCACTGGGCAAAAGTCAACACCAGCTTCTCTACTCCTGATCAATAACAACAACAAACATCAGTCAAACCCATCCTATACTGAGCTGCACACACGACAGAGAACACTGCACACACTTCCATTCTCTAATCATACTCATCAGGATGCAGCTGGTGAGTACTTAAGACTACACCAAAATACAATCACCAATTAAGTATAAATACAATGACGCCACAATGTTGCCAGGGCAACAAACAATTCCAATTCACAGGAAGAAATGAGACAAGAGTGACTCAAGCAAGTAACCAAGATGCAGGGCCAGAAAAGTTTCTTGAAGTAGAAAAAGCACTGGAACTACCTGAAAGAGAATTCAAAAGAATGATATTTAGGTGCCTTTAACGGATTGAGAAAAGGTCAAGGAAAGCAAGAAAGAATTCAGGAAAACACTACAGTAACAAATGAACAAAAGAGGTGAAAGATTGGTGATCATCCAAAACCTTAGATAATTAATACTAAGATTTCAGAAATGGATAATACATCAAAAGACAAAAAGAGTTTAAATGAATCAATGGATGTTTAAATTTTGAGTCTGAAGAAAA